AAAGCAGAAACTTATTAAGAGCCTTTTTATAAACTCAGGTTTATATTATAGCGAATGCGCTCAGCCAACTCAGTCTCAATCTTTTCAAATATCATTCTTGTGTTAAGAACATCTTCTTTGCTAGTTGGATATGGCCTGACGCTCATCACATATAGGCTAGCCTTAGACTTCCAATTTACTAACAGGGCAAACACCACATACTTTAGTTCCCTCTGCAGATAGTGCCTATTTCGACCGCATAGCTCATTTGTAGCTTAAGCATATTTAATTTAGCGCTCAATTAAAGACTAACGTAAATGGCAGGGGAGTAATTAATACTGAGTATGCATGCAGACAAAAGTAAGCATCACCTCAAATATAATGGAAGAAAGGAAGAAACTCGAACATTGAAATAAATTTTGATGGGATTTAATTAATTCGCCTTGCAGGAAGATTTGCTGGCAATTAATGAAGAAATTGATGTCTAAACAGAGAAGGTTATGGAAGTGGGTTGACCTCGTCGTTGCAACTTGGTCTTGTTGTCAGGGAGACTTCGTATACCATAGTAGTTGTCATGATTCCCAGCATTAGACAGTGGACTTGGTACATTCTCAAACGTTTAGCCGGCATCGTAGTTAGCATCATCAGTGAGTGCTGCCATTATTCGCACCAAGCTATGAACTCGTCAAAGAATTATGGTACCTACTATGGCAGACGACTTCGGACTATGTGCGTTTTACTAAGTCGCCCTGACAACAAGACCAAGTTGCGACAACGAGGTCAACCTACTTCTATAAATCGTAAGGAGACTGCGACAACATATCAGAGGCCACACTATCTTGATATTCATTTCTTCAATTAGGCTACAGATAAGGCTATTGTTAGAAGAAAATACGTAAGAAATTAGGAAGTTACGGCTTAAGAAGTCAGGTTGCCAAAATTATTTTACCAAGATACATTTTAAAAATTATAAAAGGTTAATTATACATTTGAATAAAATAAAAACGTATGCCCACTAATTTTTAACGAGGATGGAAATATCTTTCATACTAAAAACATGTATATATGAAAAGAATAATATTTTGATGATCATAGAACCTTACTTTTTTTGGTGTTTCAAGAGCACCTTCGAGAATTCCAAGGCCGGCTTTAGAATAAATCTTTTCCATAATCATGCTAGCTTCTTTTCTCCGACCAGCAACCAGAAGGTAACGCGCTGATTCAGGTAGCCACTATTTAAAGTGAATAAAAAAAAGAGTAAAATGAAAGTTAAATAGGATGCCTTTTTGCCCTGCTCAATAAATTCAGTCTATAAGCTGCAG